AAGATAAATTTTAATCTATATGTCAAATTTTAAAACATATCATTGATATAAAATTACTTAGATATTGATGTGTTTTTGTGGTGATTTAAACTATATAGTAGGCATGTAATGACTAATAATAACATTGGTGAAAAACATTTCTTGACCCGTAACCTAAAATATTGACCCTGTCCGAAATGACTCTAGATTGTAAAGTATATTGTTTTAATTGATTAGAATACATTATAAATAATGGATGTGGTGCATTTTGAGCTACTTCCTTCGCTCAAAAAAAATACTATGATACAAACAATAAATTTATATGATTATTTATGATTGTAATAATTTTTTTTTAATAAAATTATAATTTAATTTGTACATATGAAATATTGATACTTTGTCGAAAATAAAACTCTAAATTAACAATTTTATCCTAAAATTCTATCCAAATTTGATTGAAAATAGAATTCTAAATTAATTTTTTTATCATACAAATTGAATTCTATATAACTCTATTTTACGTGGCGCGACACTTGGCGAAAACTTGGAGCGCCAAGTGTCGCTATCTCGTCGCCTGGCTAAAAGTTTAGCTTTATATATTAGTTACTAGTTTTGTGCCCGTGCGATGCCCGGGTTGTTTATGGAATTTTAAAATAAAATTATATTATAATTCAATTTAATTGATTGAAAATAGAATTCTAAATTAACTTTTTTTTTCTACAAAGTATATCTACATTTATCCAACGTGGTACGACACTTGGCGAAAAGTTAAAATGCTATACGATGTTGTTTTGTAGCCTAATTATAAGTTTAATATTTGGTATTTTATCGAAAATAAAACTCTAAACTAACCATCTTATTCTAAAATTCTATCCTAATTTGATTGAAAAAAGAATTTTTAACTAACTTTTTAATCTTATGAATCTATTTAAATCTATCCAAGGTGGCGCGACACTTGGCGAAAAGTTAGAATGACAAGTGTCACTATTTCATGACCTGGCTAAAAGTTTAGCTTTATATATTAGTTATATGATATGATAGTATTTATTGAGACATATTCAAAAAGACCCAACATGAATTTGTTTTTCCTTACATATTATTCACAAAAGACGGTCAAAGGAGAAGCGATGAATAGTGTAAAAATCAAAGCAGGTCAAATAAAAAACAATGAAATAAGTATTTATTATACTAATGTACGTACTCGTGAATTGTCGATAAATTTCCAACTTAATACTCCTAAAGGAAGTATAATCTATCTATATATCTATCTATCTATCTATATATTATACTAAAAGACAAGCGCCTCAATGTGAGGATGACAAATGTCACTCTCTCATTGGCTTATCTTATGTATAAAATATATCTATATAATTATTGTTTACATATTCAAGCATAGTTATTTTTGTTAAACTTCAAACAATAAAATTAAGTTTCTATACATGCATAAGATTTCCATGATTTCCTAACATAAATATTGATTTAATTTTTTTATAATAAATATATACTTTCCAATACTACAAATAATCCATAAAATCTTTCCAATCTTTATTTATAGTTAAGTTAAAGAATAATAACTAATTTGAAGCAATATGATTAAAGTGGCATAATTCAGGAAACAAATATTTCGTATTTTGAAAGGCTAAAATAGTTTTTTTTTTTTATGAAAATTAAATAAAATCGATAATATTTAGTTTGACGTCAATTATGAAATCAATACAAACATTAAAAAAAAAATCAGATGTACAATAAAATATTGTGCACCTATTATAAAAGATACCCTATAATGAATGAAAGTTATTTATGCTTTATTGATAAAAGTTACCCAAAATAGCCTACAAATTATCCTAAATTCAATTCAAGTAATCGAATGAATACAAAAGTTTTTGATAAAGATACAAAATAGTGTAAAAATTACTTTTATCGTTTGTTATACTCCTTGATAAATACTGAATGCCGAGCCGAAATGTTGTCTTGAAAAAAAATACATAATCTTGAACATAAATTTAATTTTAATCGGCCTTTCATTTTCTATACAATGTCTTTTATAAAGACCTTTTGTTTTTCTTGCATAAAAAAAAAAAAAAAAATTGAACCAATAATCAATCTAAACAAGAAGAATAAAAGTTAAATTGAATTAGAACTTTGACGGAAAAGGGATAGATATAAAATGTATTATAACTATTACTCATGTTTTAAATTGTAATATTCGTATTAACAATGCTATTACTTATGAATTTTTTTAGAAAAACTAACATTTTGATTTAAAAGTCGTGCATTGCTCATGTACTATACTAGATATACAACAATCATGTGCAATAATTTATGTTGTTTTATACATAATAATACTTTTAACTATAATAGTATGTGTATATAATATAATATTTTTTATAATATAAAAAAGTATATGTATATAATATAATATTTTATAACACGTGTCCTCCATGTTTGTATTAGGGATGTTCAATTTCGGATATCCGATCCGATCCGATCCGAAAATTCGGATATCCGAAATTTTCGGATCGGGGAAATTGCGATCCGAAATTTTCGGATATCCGGATTTTCGGATCGGATAGTCGGATATTCGGATCGGATAATCGGGTTTTCGGATCGAGTAGTTAAAATTTTTGGAAAAAATCCGATCCGTATCCGATCCGAAAATCCGAATTTTTTTTCGGATATCCGATCCGAAATATCCAAAACCTTAAAAATCGGATCGGATATCCGAAATTTCGGATTGGATCATCGGATATTTCGGACCGGATATTTTTGAACACCCCTAGTTGGTATAGTGGTGATTGAGGTTACACTTGGTAGGGAGGACCTGTGTGTTCCCCTGCAATAACCAGCGGAAGGGGAGTGAAACCTAATAACCTAGAACTGATCCTCAAATTTGGATTACCCCAAAGGGTGAACCGGATAGAACACCCAAAACTCAATGCATATATGACGGGAATTAACTTATCCTTTATCTATCTTATACAAAACTCCAAAGTCTAATTTTTTTTTTTCAAAATATGATAATAACATTTGTAAATTTTTGTTAATATGAAAGATATAAACCTATCAAAATGTATATATAGTTAAATTGTTTAATAACTTATATCGAATGCGTAGTTTTATTAAAATTATTTGCATGTAATCATTAAATGTGTTGGATGTTGTGTAGCTGTGCAATGTCCAAAACTTTAGTTGAGCGACTTTGATTTAGTGATTGTACGGTAAAAAGATATTGACTTCGATCTTGAAACCTAATAGTCTAATAAATTCTAAATAGAAAAATTAAAACAAAAGGAAATAAAATAAGTAAATGGGTTTAAATATTGAAATAAACATAACCTTTTAAATCAATTTAGCGAATTCAAGAGACAATTTTAAGGCATTTAAAATTAAATGGGGGAAAATATATGTAAAAGGAACAATTTTAGATATATAAATGTCCATGCACTATTATAGGAGTTTTGTTAACCTTTTTATAATTAATGTAGGGATAAATCTTAGTAATGTATAATCTGTATATTTTATTTATATAAAATTATCAGTATCCATACCTATATACGAAGTATTTGTGTCGTATACTATATTTAATCAGTTGTTGGTTATATATATGACTATTATATAATATATAGTTTTTGGCACAATGCTTAACTTAGGAAAATATATGTTCTGGTAGGTCAAATATAGAGTTATTATTGTGTCTATAGATTTAATGAGTGCGACGGGTAAATAAAACATGTATATATTAGATTGATTGTAGCTACTGATGCGGATGGTATGTGTAAACACAAATTTTAAATCTGCAAAATATAGATTCAAAATAAATGTAACAAAGTGTTAATTTTATTAATTTGATAGTTTATGGGTACAATCTCTAATTTGATCCTCTGATTAGATCTCCACTTTATCTTTGACTTGTTTCAAGGGCTGAGTTGACTCTTGATTGAGGGCCGACGAGGCTTGATCTCTATCGAAGATATCTGTTGTAGACCTTTGACTTGGGTTGTTGATTGAGGGCCGACGAGGCTTGATCTCGATCAATGAAGATTTGATGTAGAGGTTGAACTGGAGTTCTTGATGATTTGATATTCTTCTTTCCTTCGTGTTGAGGGCCGTCGAGGCTTAATCTCTTCCACGAGTGATCTTCTAGAGTAGAACGACAAGTCGAATGCTTGTTGTTCTTCTTCTAGGTTTTGAGAGGATTTATTCGGAGAAGTTTAGAGTATTTTATGAGAGGTTTTCTCTGAAAAGGTTTAGAGTATTTGAGTGGTTTTCTCTGTATTTTTCATTCTCTCTAGTTTTCTCTCTCTCTAGGTTTTCCTCTGAATTTTTCCTCCTCCCCAATGAAATAGAGAAAGCTCTATTTATAGAGTGAGACACCCTAGGGTTAGGGTTTGATGTGTACATTGGGGTTGGGCTTGCTTGGTAATCTTGACTCATTTATGTAGCTTAACCCATTTAAGTAGGCTTTTACTATTAAATGAACAATTTAATCAAAATAATTAAAATGGGCAAATTTATATTATTTCACCCAAAATAATTAATTTTAAATAAATAGTCAAACCATTAAGTCAACAAATTGAATTTTGACCCATATAATATCCGATGTGGCACTTATATAAAATTTTTGTGTCTACAGTATGATAAGAAAATTTTAGTTTTTTCTCAACGGTAGATATAAATAAATTAGTCCATTTCTTATATAGCTATGTGGAGTATTATTCAATTAATAAATAACATTATAAAAAATTAAAAGAAATTTAAATAACATAAAATACTATTCAAATAACGTTCCTTTAATTTTTTTTTTATTGACCATTAGTACAAGTCCTTTAATAGTAAATGAATTACCTTTGTTTTTATTTTTATTTTTTCTACGGGTTTAATAATTTGATTTATAAACCGCGCATTGCACGGGCACTATGCTATTTCCCAAGCTAAATTTCTACGTACCAAACACCCTCAAAGGGTATTTAATTCCCATATGTTAGCCTTGAATTTTCTCCTTTTTAAGTCAATATAAATAGTCATTTACTCCGTATCACCGAAAGATACCATACCAAGGACTCTTGTCTCCGAACTCTCAAATCCTCTCTCTTTTCTCTGCAATCACCCTAACAATGGCGGCGAAATTGAAGATAGCAGGAACATGGTCAGGTATTTTAGAGGTTGAATTAGAGAATTGGACTGTACCCATGTTGCGTCAAGAGGTTGCTAACCGATCAAATTGTACCCCTTCTTCAATCAATCTTATTTTTGGCGGTCGATTACTTAAAGACCAAACTGATGATCAAAACAACCTTAAATTAAGTGATTTGGGTCTCAAAAACAATGCCAAGATTTTGGTTACTCGTGTTAATGTTGATGAGGGCAAGTCTTTTCAGCAGGAATTGATGGCTGAAGAACAGCGCTCTTCTAGACTCACTCGTCTTAAGTAAATTCTTAATCTTTTTTTGTTTGTTTGTTTGTGCTATTAATTTGTCGTATGTTTTAATTGTTTTGGTTGGATTTAATTGTGAAAGTTTTGGTTTTTTTTTTTTTTTTTTTTTTGGGTTTGAGATAAGGGTTTTGGGTTGTTGATCATGTAAGTAAGTTGGGGAAATTATGTTGATTTATGTTTTGATAGCATGAATTATTGTAAAGGGTTTTTGTTTTGATGAATTAGGGGATTGAATTTCATGTTCTCACTTTAAGTAGTATTTTCTTCTTCACCAAGTTAAAGTGACATAAAAGGAATTGGGCTGTAATATGGTGATTTTATATCTTTATGCAAGGTTTCACATCTTTAATCATCAAAGCATATTCATTAATCTCCTTGTATGTAAAATATTGGAACTAGGGAAGCTGGGAAGAAGTGCCATTCTATAGTAATGTTAGTGAGAATTGAAAGCTTTGGGCCTAATAATGTTTATGCTGTTCTATCTGATTATAAGGGGGTTTGGTATTCTGAACTGAATTGCTTTAGAAAGGCATGCTGTCTGTGGATCATATTGTTGTGCACCTGTGGTATCTTCGACTTATTCTTGAATCATTTGAACTTGTATATTGTCACTTGGGAGTTGGGACGCTGGGCTTTTGAATTATTGCTTACAATCGTTTGTTTGAACGTATATTAACTTGCTTGATTTAAATTTAGAAGAGAACGAGGTTGGTTGTTGCTTGCTTTAACAGAAATCTTAGCATGATTTCTGCCCCCTAATGCTTAATGCCTGAAAGTTATCTTTCTCTAAATTTACCAGGGCGGCTGTTGCTATGCTTGCTAAGAGACATGCTGATGGATCGCTACCTATTGATGACTACAACATTGAGCTTGAGGATCAAAGAGGGCAGAAGGTTAATATGGGTTCTGAGACTGATCAAAGGTATGTCTTTGTTTATTGCAAGCTACTGTATGCACCATCTGGAATCTTGAATCTCTCTTTAGTTTCAGATGTTGAGAAAATTAGAAGCAACCACATGTGCGGATTTGCCTTATATTTTGTATATGACAGGGCAATAATGATGGGCCTTATGCTGCATACAAAAGGAAAGCAGCTAATGAGAACACAGCAATACAAAGACGCATTAGAGGTTCTTGAAATGGGAGAGGTTAGTGGCAGCTTGTCTATGCGGAGAGTTTATTGTGAATAAGAAATTATTGTCATACAAATTCGACCTTTTTGCGTAACTCTTCTCTAAATTTTAAAGTTGTTAACTTGTGATGCATTATGTTTTTCAGGAGGCGTTTTCTCTCTGCGACTCAAAACTTATAGAGGTACTACATTAGTCATTCGTTTTTACCCCGAGTTTCTGAAGGAATTGCAAGTTACTGTATTTATTCTGCATATCTGAGTGTATCTGGTTATTGGCTTTCTTCATGTTTTTTCTTGCATATAAACACGTGTGTGCTTATTCAATGGTTCATGTTCGCAGTGTATTGACAATGTTCCAATCCTTCAAATTGACATGGTGTGGTGCTATTTTATGCTTCGTGACATCAACTTGCTCGCGTTGGCTGGTGAGCGTCTTGCAAAAGCTAGAGTAGGTATTGAGCGCTCTCATGGAAAGAATGCCTCTCGTGCAAGAGAGCTCCAGAGTAGTCGTAGCCCAGAGATTGCATTGTAGGTTACCTCCTTCTTTCCTATTCTGTAGTTTGTCTGGGAAGGAAGACTGCTGCTTAATTCTATTTTTGTTTGGTTCCTTCTAGATATTTGAGGTTAGAGCTCTTGGAAGGTGTTGCAGCTTTTCACTGTGGCAAATTGGATAAATCTAGAGAAGCTTTGACATCTGCCAAAGCAAGATACTCTAAGGTATGGAACAGTTAGTTCTATCTTGTGTTCTTTAAGATTATTATGAGCGGTTTACCTCCTTTGATCACCTCCTTAATTGATTGTCTTTTAACCTGTTTGATTTTCAAGAAGTAGATGTTTCTTTATGGAATAATGAAGAAGTCTGTTAAACTCCCCCCCCCCCCCTCTCCTAAAATCAGGGGCACCCTTTCTATGTAGATTCTTTTCTGCTTTTCCTCTGTGCCATTATGTTGCTGTTTTGGAAATTTCCACATTGCTTTTGCACAGTACAGGTTTGTCTTATAGAGTTCTAGGTGTTGTAGCATGTATGATGTATCTGGCTATCTGCCTTTGTGGTAGAATGATTTTGGCCAAGAGATTATGAGATTGAGGGCTGTTTAGCGTTGTAAACAGTTTGAGGATTCAGGCTAAGAATAATGAGCTATTCTCTGGTAGTACTTGATTTTGAAGTGGATGGATTGATTTGTTTTCTGGTTTTTGAGACTATAAAAGATTTCATGATCCTTGTTTGCTGTCTCTATTGCTGTATCTCTATTTACTATTCATATTCATCCTATACCTTTTGCCAATTATCAGACAGGCTTCACATTACTGCTGTAAATGATGATGTGTATATATTTTTTTATTCAGCTTCAAGTATCGGATGAAGCCTTATCACTGCTAATGGGCATGGGCTATCATGAATATGAAGCTAAGAGAGCTCTGAAGATGAATGAGCAGGATGCTGAAAGTGCTATCAATTTTCTAGAGGAGGAGAAAGAAAAGAAGGCAAAGAAGCGGGAAGATGATATCAAGCGTCAACAAGAAATTAGGTATTTGTTCATTAACTCTAATTGTTCCATTTAGTTGCTTCTATACTCTTATCATGCTTAACTTCTTGCAGGGAGCAGAAGAAGTTTGGAAAAACTCCCCTTGGCAAAGCTGTCGATCTTCAAATGGTGCAAGTGTTAGAGACCATTGGGTAAGCTCACTTGTTCTTCAAGTAAAAAAAAATTCACTTTGCTCCCAACGCTATTTCCTACTTATAATTGTTAAGGCCAAAGGTGATTATTTGTAGGAAGTTTTCTACTTAGATTGATATTTTGTGTTCGTCATTCTCACATCCTTATGACCTAACATCATACAAAAGGTGTAAAAATGCAAGAGGGATGCGATCTATTTCAAGCACATCTGTCACTTCAGTTAATTATTGTTGACCTGTAAATGACTGCATCTAAAAATATTCTTTAATACTATATGACGTTAAATCCAGGAAAAGGCAACTTGCTGTTCATCAAATATTTTGCTATATCATTTACCTGTCAGGTTGACCCTCACCCAAAATAAACAGTAGACTCAAGGGATTTTAATATTAAAAAATTTATAAAATTTTTATGATCAATACACTTGTATGTGAAGCAAAACCAAAATATTCTGTCATCAAAGCTATAAGTTGCTCTTTTTTTCAGGTTTGAGAGGGAGCTTGCTGCAGAAGTCCTCCGAAGGCATGAGAATGACACACAAAAGGCTTTGGATGATCTGACTAACCCAGAGCTTAACTCTAAGATACAGGTAACTATTATGCCCTTCGTACAATACAACCCTTTTATTGATATTCTGAGTACATACAACCTTCATTTATATTTCCAAATTCTTCATCTGCCTTCATTTTGTTTGCAGCTTGATATTGAATGTAAGAAGAGGAAAAGACAACAGAAACATGTGGATTCAATAACTGACGAACTTGTATCCATGGGTTTTGATAGATCACAAGGTAGATTTACCTGGTATTAAATGCAAGTTTTTGTTTTATTTATTTATTTATTATTTTTTTAATCCTTCTCATATTTTGATGACCTCTGGTTTGAATTATTTTGTTCCAAAAAGTATTTAGTAAGTCCTAACCACTTTGAATTTTCTTTTATTTGTTTTGAAGGGATACTTTAATACCTTAGTGCACCAATGCACTATTGACAAAGGAAATTCATTTATGATATTTTCATGTCTTTAGCCCTAGGATAACATACTTTCAAATTGTTTAAATATCACCATATAAGTGTATTCCTAGTTCTTAAACACTATTGCAAGCCTTATGTCCTTTGGAACCTGGATTGTGGGAGATTAAAAGTATTGGGGATTTTTAATTGGTCATTTATTATTGAGTGTTTGAAATTTTCTTTTGAGGTTAATTTGTGCAACCTCTTTCAGTCTTTCTCTGGTGTATGAAGTATATGATAATCTCGTATCCTTTAGACTGACATGAATGCTTGTGTTTCTAATGAGCCTGTATTATATGTTTGCCCTCTTTGCCATAAGATGTATTTATACTTGTATGCCTCTTCTGCCATATCCCTCTGCAAACAACTTATCTGGTTGAATTTTGGTGTGCAGTGATTGCTGTGGTTAATTCCCACGGAACAAGAACTGCGGCATTAAATGAGCTGCTTGCACAAGGTCCGATGTCCTCTGCTTCTGTTGATGGCTCTATACCAAATTTCGACCCTGCTACCAGTTCAACTGCCGGAGAAAGAGAAAACTTGCCAAGTTCCAGTGGTGAAGAGAGAGAGAGTCCATCAAGTTCTCGTGAAGGGGAAGAACGGGACCTTGAGATGGAAGATGAACTCGTAGAGGAATTACATAGAGGTGACGCATTTTCAGATTATGACATTGATGTGACCAAAGAAGCCGAAGCTCTTAATGAATATCTGGCCTTGGTGGATTCTGCCATGGTTAAAAGTAACTGAGAGGAGAGGTCTGACCTGTTGATGCTGTAAATACTGGATTAGAATGAGCTCTTATCATGGCGATGCTGATGCATCTAGCAAAAACCAGCAGGTCAACTATTTATTGGCTTCTCGATAGTCATAGTTAATTAGTTTCAAATTTACAATCAATAAGTTGCATAGATGTGAAGAAATCAAGAGGTACTTTAGAATATGCTGATGGTGTACAGAAATGGTAGGGATTGCATTGCTCAGTGGTCAGGTTCATTGGTTTTGATCGGATTTCGGTTTTGTAAAGTTTTACCATTAAAGTTTCTTTAGGAAGCTTTTTATTTTTAGTTTGAAGTGGCTAGCATATTAGTAGATCAAATACCAATGATAAACTTATACTCCGTATAGAATTACAGCTTTTGAATCATTTACAAAGGGTGTTTTTGAGGTTCTCTTCTTGACTTGCAGTTTAGGGCTAGGCTTGGCTTAATTTTCGACTATGACAGAAGTCTATTTACCTCATCTGCTTGTTTTATTTGGAGCAAATATTCGAACAAGCCCGAATTATATTTATTTGATTTGGAACATTCAACTTTGATAGGCTAAATTCTCAAGCATGTTGTCTTTTTCAAGAAGTCTTAGTTAAGGGTCTAAATTGCACAAAGTGCAACACCTTGGTCTAGTTTGCCTTGATCCCTACCTGGTTTGACCCAAAAACAATCTAAATCACTTATTATATCTTGGTTTCACAATCAATCTCATTCGACGGTGTTTTATTTATTATTATTTTTTATGAATTACAACTTATTTAAAACCGATAATAGAAAGTTAAACAAAATCCATATTTATATCTATATCTATACTTAGTATTTAAAAAAGCAAACCAAAAAAGACATATGTCATCATTCTAGTCGTTTTACCTTTTTTTTATTTTTTATTATACAATTTTTCTTTAACTCTTTCATCAAATACTTCATCTTCATCTTCCCTCTTTAATTCAACCTTTTTATTTTCTCTTTTTGATTTTAGTTCCTCCATCTTCTTTCTATTAAGTCTCATTTCAAATTAAAGTCCCAAAATTTTTATTTCTTTAATTATGTTTTCAATTACATATTACACTCATAATTATTTATTGGTATTTCCTCACTCGTCTCATGCAATTTTTTATGAACAAGCCGCAGAATGATAACCAAAACATGAGGTCGAATTTTATTTATAGAAGGAGAGATTAATGATAACAAAAAAAATGAGTAGTAGTCTAGTAGTAGCTTGATTAAATACTCTTTAATAATTAATTAAAAGAAAAAAGAAAAAAAATATTAAAAATCATTTTCAACAGGCCACCTTGGAATCGCCATCTCCATACATACTCTCTGTCCTCTCTCTCTTCATTTACCGTTTCCCCAGTCAACACGGACAACTCCTCGAAAAACCCTAGAAACCTCCTCAATCTTCGATTATACATTCAATTCAATTCCTTTTCATTTCAATTGAATTCAATTATATTGTTCCAGATTCATTGGTTTCCCAGCTGATTTTGTTACAAAAATTAGCTCAAATGTCGTCGGAAATCGAAATAGTTGAAGAAGAAGTCGTTCAATCGAGAGATCGATCAATGGCGGCGGAAGCTTCATCGTCGACTTCAATGGCGGAGGAGAGAGAAAATGAGGAGAGTTTGAAAAACGATGTTTATACTGCTGCGGCGTATGGTGATATGGAGAAGCTTCAGAGATTAGTGGAGAGAGAAAATTGCTCTGTTTGTGAACCTGATGCTCTTGGTTACTTTGCGTTGCAGTGGGCTGCTCTTAACAATCGTACTGCTGCTGCTCGCTTCATTCTTGAGGTTCTTAAATTCAAAATTTTCTGCCATTTTTTTCAGTTTTTTTTGTTGATTTTGTACTAGTATGTTGATTTTTTCTTTTATGTATTGAATTGAATTAGTTTTATGATTGTGATAATGTTGGAAGCAATGTGGTTGAAGGTTGTTTGTGTTTAGAAATGTTGATTTGAAGATATTGTTAGCTACTTAGCTTGAGCTTGATTTTGAATGTTGGTTAAGTTTTAGTTTTTGTGCAAGATTAGTTGCTGCATTTTTGTGAATCAGTTGAACTTCAAGACTGTTTCTTTTTTTGGATGAGTGGGAAGATATTAAGGAATTTTTGAACTGGTCCTTTATTTAGTTTATTTCGACATGTATGGGGTGTTATGGTGAAGATTGTATAGTATGTTTTTGCATTGAATAACATACTCCTAGTCCTAGGCAGGATGAATTCACCTTTAAGATTAGGTCCAATTTCGGGTGCTATATCTACCATTTGTGGTGTATTAAGGGGTATTTTAGGGGCTTGCTTATCACATAGGGGTCCATCTTTGGGAGAAGAACGCATGATTAGGCTTCGATTGCTCAATAATATGGAAGGGGATAGTGGTCAATGCGATTGAACTTTGATTGTTTATGTCATTGCACTTTTTGGAGGGCTATGAAACGAGCTAGTTTAAGTGATTGGCTGATTGCACCTGTTGGATAAAGACACCCTCTGTCTGTCCCGAAATTATAGGCACTCCTAGGAACATTTGATATTGGAGTCAAATTCAAGGAATTTAGCTGAAATATTACAGCTATCCTCTACTTTTATCATTTGTATAAATCTCTTTACCAATGTTGCCTATTTTCTAGATTCTTATAAGAATATCATTAAGGCTACTGCTGAAATTATTAAATTACTATATTTGGAATTTAGCTAACAAACTACTCCTTCCATTTCCATAATCATAGGTTCATTGAAATCCTTGGGGGTATTCTGTGAGTACTCTGACTATAAGGTTGTTTGGGAATATTTTTGGCTAATAGTGGGGTATTTCTGGCATTAAATATCTTCTGAGAGGGAGGAAAAATCTACCTGCCCGTTGCAAGTTTCGCTTGTGATATGTGACCATACATTTGACTGACCAAAAGGGGCTTCTTCTTGCTATATTTGGACTTTACATTGGGTTTGTGCTAGTGAGATATCCTATGTCATCTCAAGGGTAAATGCTATTAAATCAATATATAGGATGGGGTCTTCACGGCGTTGGTTGAGCTGAGTAGCTAATTGTTCATTTATTACATATAATTAGGGAGTTAGGGCCTTGAGGGTGTGTTACCTGATTATTAACAATCATGCTGCTGTTAGTGACACTATCAAGGTATGTGTTATTTATAATAACTTTGCATGTTTTTGGTCCAAAATGAAGTAAACAAGCGCCCATACACATTTTCAAGCGTATAAGTACTTGTGATGCAATAAAGGGTTTGGGTATCAAGGATAAGATTAAGTCTGTTTTCCCTTTTTTTTTTTTTTTGTTCCTGTTCCTTTTCACCTTGTCATATTATAACTAAGATGCTTCAAGCTTGGGGGGAATTTGGTGGTATCTTGAAATTTTGTTATTATTGAGATAAGGGATTGTTCCCCACTCGGTTTTAAAAAGCGAGCCTCGGCAGGCGCGCCTCACCTTGCTCCCTGGCTCTGGGAAATGGGCTTTAGCTAGGCGAGACTCCGTCACCTACGGAAGGCGTGCGCCTCAAAGCGCCTTTAATAAGGTGCGCCTTTGCGCCTCTAAGGAAAATAACTAAGATTTAAGTTATAAATTGAAGAAGGATGGACATTTTTTTCAAATTCGGACTACCTTAGCTTTACATATATCATTATTTAATATATTATGAATCTTTTAATTGGTATGAAGTACAATCAAAGTAAAAAATAATTTGAAATAAATATATAAATATACGCGCCTTGCATACAAAAGGCGTGCGTCTTCCACTTGCTCCTTGGTGCACCTTGCGCCTTTTAAAACTAAGGGGTTCCCCATTGTTGGAAGATAACATAAAAGTTCCTTTTAGGATATAATTTTCAATTGTCAATTACACTAGGGAGTAGGAGATATATTCATCATGGGCCATTTTGGGTAATAAGTAAAAAGAGATTAGTACTGTATCATATTATAGGTAAATGGCTATTGATAAATTGTATGGAAATCTAAATTACAACACCTATTATAGTATACAGTCATTGTTTAGGCAATGTTTCATTGTTTCAAAATACCCAAAATTCATGATATCTCAGTGAACGTCCTTATTCTTTATGATTTTTTATTTGGTGTATTGGTGTTTGTTTAGAAATTTGGGCATGTTTTAGATACTATCAGCTTATATAGCTTAGGAGGCTCTATTGCATTTCCTTTTCTGGGTTTAATTTATATGCTCAATTGTTCATGCTGGTAAGCGGTTGGGTATCCTATGTGAAACATCAGGGAGTTGTTTCTGTTTGGTGAGATGAGTTTTTGTGACTTTATTGTGTTCTCATTCGTGAGAGCCTTTGTGGAGCTGTGTCGACTAGTATTTGCAGTATAAATTGGATTAAATGCTTGAAAGTGTGGATTTTCTTGTTTTCCTGTATTGGAATATTTACAGGTTTTTTTTTTTGGCTAATTTTGCTCCTTCAGTGTTACTTGTCACATGGCTTAATGTTGTTTTTCACAATTTATCCCAGCACTTGCAGAGTTGTGTTGGTTAGATGCTGATATATTACTTATAAGATAGGGCCATTGGAGACACTTTTAATCTGCTTTTAGGCATGGTGTAAACATTTGTTTGTTTGCTGATTATATCTGTATAAGAAGTTTTCTTTTCAAACTTTGGTCAAAATTAAACTCTTAACTAATTGCATGGTTTTTGTTGTTTCATTTTTCATCTATAGCATGGTGGAGATGTAAATGCAGCTGATCACACTGGGCAGACAGCATTGCATTGGAGTGCTGTACGGGGAGCAGTCCAGGTTGCTGAGCTTCTCTTGCAAGAGGGTGCTCGAGTTAATGCTGCTGATATGTACGGTTATCAGGTTGCCCCCTTTATCTGTATTTTTATAGAATTATGGGAGGTCATTTATTAATTTGCAAGTGAAGCTGTCTAGCAATTGGTGCAGTTATCCAAATCATATTCCTTTTATATGGAGGGGTCTTCGTCATCTGTTCCATATTCTTAGTTTAATTTTCTATAGTTTCCTTTCAAAGTATGACACACATAAACACATTCTATACTTTATGCTTACATGAGATTACTTTGACCTGTAAATGTACTTTTGTAGTTAATGTATCTGGAAGACAGGCAAATTAGTTTATAGGCATTATCATTTTTGTACCATGATTTATAAGGCTTGAAGGATATGTTAAATGAACTCGTGTACTGGATAAGTGGATAGTTTCTGTTTGATTAAATGATGGGAGTGCCAAAATATGTTTGGTTTAATATAAGAAATTTTTTTGCCCATGAGAAGTTCTGCTTTTTTGGGGGGATTTGGCAAGTAACGTCCTCCATGAATTTTCTAGGAAAAAGCTGTGTGATTGTCGACCTAACACATAGATATATTTCTACATCCCAGGAAATATATCTGTTAGTATACCATACAAGTAGTATT